CAAATTGTGTTATAAGGGATTTATTATATTTGAAAGGAACATCAATTAGGACTAACATAAACCTGAAACAACTATATAACTAATGCTGAGATGACTTATTGATATTTGTGTGCAATAATTCCAAAATGTATGTCTTATAATTATTAAATATTAATGATGTCATCAGTAAATAGGTTAACTGTGCAAATTAGAGTAATCAGCAAGTTATTGCATAACAATGGTTTGTTTTGTGGACTATCAAAAAAATATAAAGCTTAAAAGAGCAAAAAAATTAATGACCTTCATTAAAAAAAAATTCAAATCAGTTTTTATTCTAGTCAAAATAAAACAAATAAGACTTTCTCCAGAAGAAAAAATATTTTCAGACATACTGTGAAAATTTCCGTGCTCTGTTAAACATAATTTGGACATCATTTAAACATCTTTTTTTTAAGAAAAAAAAAATTTAAAGGGGGCCAATAATTCTGACTTCAACTGTAGGTGACACTATTTTCCTCTCCACATTATGCACCAGACACTTTTTTACATAAGCACTCAATACTTCTTGGAAATCAAAGTGCAATTCTGAGCATGCTACGCACAGGTGAGTGGGATTGACACAGTGTCTTACGGACACAGTTTCTAATCTTATTATCCTCAAAAAAAAAAAAAAAAACAGACTTGTCATATCATTAATATACTGGTTAGAAGTGCTTCTTTTATCCTCACTTTTAAGTCACTTTAGATAAAAGCATCTAAATAAGTAAATGTACTATACATAAAAATATCTATATTTTCTTCCATTTTAACTAAGAGGTTGTCATGGCACAATATTTGATGGCTACAGCGGGGAAAATGAGTATTGAACACATGTTTTTTCCTGGGAGTAATATTTCTAAAGGAGCTGTTGACATGGAATTAAACCAGATTTTGGTTTAGATAGATAAAAATTTAAATAGATTAAAATAAAACAAAACAAAAAAATTAATTGTGTAATAACAATGAAAAGTCACAAGGAGAAAGTACTGAATCACTGAAACATATTTAATACTTTATATAAAAGGCTGTTTTGGTGATGGCAGCTTAAAGACACCTCTTATATGTAGAATGCAGTCACATGCATTACTAGGGTGTGAGTTTTTCACTTCAAGAGAGCGTAAAAATCTTGATGGTTCTGTGGGTCTCGTCTATCAAATCTGATCTTTATTTTGTATTTTCTATTGGATTTAAGTCAGGTGATTGGCTGGGCCATTCTACAGCTTGATTTTCTTTCTCTGAAAGCACTTGAGAGTTTTCTTGGTTGTGTTTTGGATCATTGTCCTGCTGAAATGTCCACTCTGGACGTCTTCATCATCATGATAATATAGATGTTGGACTAAATCAGCAAATGTTAATTTAAAATGAGGATGGGTAGAGGGTTGCTGAAGAACTACTGAGAGATTTTTGCTGCTATCTGGGCTCTAACTGCCTTTTTCTACACCTCCCTTTTTTCACGTGTTCAATACTTTTTCCCTGTGTCATTTCATTTTATTATGTATAACTTTGTTTGTAAACTAATTAGATTTGTTTTCTTTGCATAAATGAATTTCTTTGGTTGTTATTAACATCCGGTGACTGTAACTGTCTTGTCAGTAAACCAGTAGTACTTAATATGCATAGCAACAAGTATAAACATGTTTTCTCTTGCATAGCAAGTTATCAGCAGTGTGCAGTAGATGCAGTGTCACACATTTCCTCCTTTAGATGGTGTCATTATTTTTAGAGCTCTAAAAATATGAAGACCATCTAATGGAGGAAATGTGCAATGCTGTATGTATATACTACACTAGCTATGTTTCCATCCACCTATTATGCACAGTGTTTGAAATATCACATTCAACTGCTTAATGGAAATGCCAAGATGTGCAGAGATTAAAAATGTAAATGCATATAAAAAGCGTTTGCGCACAACTAAGGATAAACTTTTTATCTGATAAGAAAAATGGAGCGTAAACGCAACATAGGCTCATTTTAAAAACGTAGCCTTATATACATTTCTGGAGATCGCAAATTATGTAGCCAGAGGAAAATATGGATGCATTTCGTCTGTAAAACGAATGCTACGGGGTTATGTTGGCATTCCTTTTCACGCTTACCAGCTGCATACCTCGGTTTGGATGACCTTTCTGCTGTCACCAGTTTGTCTAGTGGCTCACCACATACGTTGGGGGATTTGAGACACAATACAGCGAAGAACAATACCAAAAAGCGGGTAAGACAAAATCAGAAACCACAAAATAAAATGAACAAGTAAATAACAGGGTGAGAATGTGGTAAAATCTGAAACCGTGGTAAAAACGAGGCTGCCGCGAGGGCTTATTTGTTCCCGCATTTTTTTTTTTGTGAAGTGGGTGATCGGGTCAACCGATGCTTTTTAAAACACTATAGGTTGGAAAGGAGGAGGGTAGGTCAGTCGATCAGTCAGTCAGTATGTCAGTCAACAGTGTTCTGTGGATTTGGATGTGGATCAGTGTTAGTGGATTTACGCGAGAAGAGCAGGTGCGAATGGCACTAGCAAGAGAAATCTGAGATTTCTCAGAAAAACAAAACTCCTGGGACGAAATTAGCTCTCTTCAGAAATGTATATAATGGTACATATTCAGAAATTGCCTGGGTTGCATAAACTACTATAAAAACACATTAACCTAAACTGAAATAAATTCCAGTATATGCACATTATCGAAAGTCATTTAGAAGATTTCAATTTAAAGGGGACCTATTACACTCCTTTATACAAGATGTCCATAGAGTGTACTGAGGTGCAGGTGGATGGAAAGGTGGAGGTGGTAGCAGGTGGATGGAAACAAACCTATTAATGTAGGCAATAAAGTCAATAATAAACTTATTGTGCATATTCCTTTACATATACAGGCTTGTCTAATTTAACTGAACGTGCTTTTTGTGTTGAAAGGTGCCATTTTTAATGATTTACTAACGGTCGCGAGCATTTTGCGTGCCTCACATTTTAACCGCCTGCTGCGTCTCACGTTTTTGCGTTCACAGTTGAAAAAAAAGTCTGAGCGGAAAAGCGCGTTACTTCAGTCACGTCTCTTTCATTCTCCAATCAAATGAAAGCAGAGGCGGGGTTTCTATTGAGGTGACAGCAGTGTTTGTGTTGTCAATACAAATACAGAGACTTTTAAAAATGTACAGTAGGAGAGACTAGTGGCAAAGAGCTTAGAATCACCAAGAGGTGACACTCAATAGAAAGTTCCATTACAACAGCAGCGCCCAGCAACAGCCACGCGATTCCGCCATATTGGAGTGAAAGCGAGCGGCCGTCCATTGGATCTTATTACTGTCGTGATGACAAGCAGCTACTTTGTTTTCTTTTATTTATTTAAAAAGCACATTTAAGCTGAGATACAACCTGAAAGATGACAATACAACACTTACAATCACAATCAACAGCACTTTTAATAGTTTATTTTACAGACTTATAATATGCTGTTGTTCTATTGGAATTTTCATTCCAAAATGGCCAACGCGTGACACTAGTGGTTGTTTGCCTAATTGCACTAGAGTGTCGCCTCTTGGTGATTTTATGCTCTTTGCTAGTGGTTGCTGTTTCAAGTTATCCGCAGCTGTATGACCTTCCAAATCTTGAATATCACAATATTATTAAATATTACAATTATAACAATATCAACAGCAGTGCTCAAGCATAATACTGAACTGAATCAGTCCTTGCCCAGTGACGTACTGTAAAAATTGCACTGCGCTTTTTTTCTTGTCAACAAAAAAGGCAGTGTGGTGTGCCTCATGTTTTTAGGAATGTAAAAGCATGTTTGATGTGATTGGTCTCTAAAACTTCATTCTGACACAATCTATTGGTTTAAAAGTGTAGCAAAGTATAAATATTCAAAATAAAATGACAAAAAAAAAAGTATTTTGGGGCTGCCTTGTAATCACTAAAGGGATAGTTCACCCAAAACATGAACAATCTGTCATATCACACGTCACACAAGTTTTTTTTTTTCCATGCAAGTCAATGATAATAGATTTTCAGCTTTCTTCAAAATATCTCATGTTAAACAGAAAAAAGGAACTCATAAAATATTTAGTACCACATGAAGGAGAGTAAATAGAGTAAAAACTTTTGGGTGAACACCCCACTAAAGAGTCTTTGAATAATTCTTGTTGATTAAAATATTTTGACAGACTTAGTTCTGAGCCGAGGACAATATCATTAAATATTACAATTATAACAATATCAACAGCAGTGCATAGGCATAATACCGAACTGATTCAGTCCTTGCCCAGTGACGTACTGTAAAAATTGCACTGCGCTTTTTTTTATTGACAACAAAAAAGGCAGTGTGGTGTGCCTCACGTTTTTGGAATGTAAAAGCATGTTCGATGTGATTGGTCTCTAAAACTTCATTCTGACACAATCTATTGGTTTAAAAGTGTAGCAAAGTATAAATATTCAAAATAAAATGACAAAAAAAAAGTATTTTGGGGCTGCCTTGTAATCACTAAAGGGATAGTTCACCCAAAACATGAACAATCTGTCATGTCACACGTCACACAAATTATTTAAAAAAAAAAAAAATGAAAACCAGTATCCATTGACTTTTTTTCCATGCAAGTCAATGATAACAGATTTTCAGCTTTCTTAAAAACATCTCATGTTAAACAGAATAAAGAAACTCATAAAATATTTAGCACCACATGAAGGAGAGTAAATAGAGTAAAAACTTTTGGGTGAACACCCCACTAAAGAGTCTTTAAATAATTCTTGTTGATTAAAATATTTTGACAAACTTAGTTCTGAGCCGAGGTCTTGGCGTTGTCTAACGCATCTAAAAACATCCTGCAGCATTCGATTGAATATGTAGCCAGCGACACAATGAGCTTCACATCTGTTTATGTGTGGTTTGAGTTTTCAAACCTCGTGACACGAAAGTGACCTTGTGAAACCTCAAGCAAACTGCTTCCTCTTTCATGCAGACTAACCACTTTCGTACAATGTCTTCTAGGTTGACTTTAACTGCAGTGCAGTGAGGAGTCAGACAGATGCAGCCATTAGCCTGTTTGAGCGTGTGGCCTACCCGCCTGTCTTCATAGTTGGCCTTTCCTTCAACATCACAGCTTTATACCTCTTCTGCCGCATCAAACGATGGACCGACACTCACATCTACATGCTAAATCTACTAGTGGCTGATCTCCTAGCAATCGTTTTCCTGCCCTTCAGGATCCTGGAAGCCTTTTGTCAAATAAAGCCGACCATATTGTGCACGTTCCTGCTGTGCACCCAATACTCCAACATGTACTGCAGTATGTTCACCATCACAGCCATCAGCGTTCACCGCTTTATATCCGTCAGGTTTCCATTTCTGACCAAATCGCTGGTGTCTAAAAGTAAAGCGATCGCCATCACAAAGTGCATCGTCATCTGGATTATCATCGCGGTGATCTGCGCTAGCAACTATCGTGATCTTATGCCAGACAATTTAGACGGCTGTTATGATCTAAATCTGACCAGAAAGCTTCGAAAGACGTTTCTCTTGCTTTTGGAGATTTTAGGATATCTCATTCCAGTGGTGATCATCATATTTTGCTCCACACAAACCGTCTACATACTAATCAGATCGCTTCAGCATGTGGAGGGAAGAGATCGAGCGGAGAGGAAAAAAATCACTGCTATTATTGCTGCCAACATGTTCACGTTCATAGTCTGCTTCACGCCGGTTCATATCGGACTTTTGCTGCAATATTTATCAGATGAGAATGGCAAAAATTTTATACACGTGTTTCTTGATGTTGCTGAGTGGATCGCCACTACAAACTGCTGTCTGGATGCTATTGGATATTACTTTCTGCTGAAGAGAATTCATAAAGGAGAAAATAGTTTTAACTGATTGTTAAAGAGCCTCCATTTTGCATTATAAAAGGTCATATTTTGATTTTGGAGGTCAAAAAACACTTTCATTGCCTTATAATATGCCTTTATTTGTACGTAATTATCCCAACGACTCCCATATGATAAGGTCAGCAATTGATTTGTTCCCAAACCCCTTCTTTATGTGAAGCTAATCTGCAATGACCCATTCTGTTGTGATTGGTCGACTGAGTTCAACGCAAAGAGAGAGAAACACCCACCATGGCTATGAAGTAGCAGAGAGTGTGTGAGAGCCCAATGCAGGAATGCAATAAGGCAATGTCGTTAAACATCAGCATAGTACTGTACTCTTAACCCTAACCCCAAGTAATAACAACGACACACATTCAGTATTAATCCACACTGTGCAAAAGTCCAACTATTTTGAAAAAGAGGAACAGCTGATGGTGGCCATATCAAATGGCAAAGAATTGCGAGTTCAGAAACGCATTTAAATTGGTAAAAGATGAAGCACGTGTCACAGTTTTAATGTGGTTTTGGAGGCAATATGTGGATAGCCCTTTAAGATTTAACCTCAGAGATGCTGTACAGTACAAACACTGATCTATAATAGATAAGTGATTGCAAGCCGTGCAGAGCCATTACAACTTACAACACACAATTAAATACACATTTTACAAACTACAGCAAATGAGGCAACAATTTTAATAACTCTTACAGGTAATGATCCAGAGGAAGAAGAAACATCCATATGAGCTGCAACAGTTACTGACAAAGTCCCTTACATAAAAGTCTCTGCTGCTCCTTCCTTTAATAGCAAACGGCCGGCAAAATACAGCGTAGATTATTGTATCAACAATCTGAAAAATGACAGTAATAAATACAGCACTAGATTGGCTATACAGTACTTTGGTATTGTTGTGAAAATGAACTTTAACCCTTTAACTTTAACCCTGGCGAATCTCCATCTGTCAGTGATCGTCATCTTCATGTCATGATCAGTCCCGTGATCCCCTGCACTCTGCTAGTGTCTGAAGGGAAAGCTTTCACATTCTGCTACTACATATTTGGCGATGTACCGTATCTACGACGATGCATTCAAGCAAAACATCCGAACCCAACTCGACTCATTTATTCAACTGAGTTGACAATAAACAGATTTAAACCTCATCTGGATGTTTTCATTCACTTTCAAAAACCCATTTATAGGGTCTCTTTGAAGGCATAGTTCACCATTAATAGTTAACTCGGCCTCAAGTGGTTCCAAACCTTTAAAGTCCGCATGAACCAGAAGCTCAGGGCTCAACAATTAGGACTGTCCAATGGCTCGGGGGCCAGTGTGAAAGATGCTTGGGACAGTAAGCATGATTATTACTGGCACAATTGGGCTAGTACTGCCTTGTGAAACTACAGTTTCATTTGCCTACGACTATTTGTCAATTACAAGCAAATACTTATTCTTAGAATCGAGAAACCTTTAAGCCTTTAAATGCCGCCATCTCTCTGATGTAGTAAACATCATACTGCTTTTCAGTTTCTCTTATCTGATTGGATGTTGTGGGCATGTTATTTTTTTCCCAAACCTGGTAACAACCAGTATAGCGAAGAAATGGCAACATGGTAGCAACATCAAATTATGATGCTGAAAGAAAACGTCTGTTTCTAACGTGTTGCAGCAGACATTTATGCGAGTACAACACAATGAAATAAAGGAAGTGATGTTTTGCACAGTTTGCCATCAGCCACCTTTTGTTAAATAATTTAGAACTGCAATAAAATACCTTCACATTTTCCATACTGTTTTTTTTGTTTGCATAACACTTTGAATTTTGCTCATTTATTAACATTTTTTAAATATTTAAAGTCAAGATTTTTTTACATAATATTTAAAATATTTGGCTAAAAAATAGATATTAACGTTGTTTTTGGTGAGGCCATTGAAAATTTTGGAAGGGCAAGTAAAAATCTGAACCACTGGCCAATCAGGCCAGTAGAAAAAAATTCTTATCGTTGAACCCTGAAGCTGCAACCATTTTTTTTGTATTGTGCCGCAGTTCCAAGAGAAACGGAATACTAAATGAAAAAATAGTGGATGTGGCTTGTTTTTTCTACTGTGAGCTGAGTGAATGTAGTAAAGTAGGCATTTCAATCAGAAATATAAGAAAAAAGGGTTTGCCGAGAGTTATTACAACCTAACAGACGCCTCCTCCTCACCGTTTTTGTTTGTTGTCAAAACTGACAGATGGAGGGGCGGGGTTAAGAATGTTAGCCACACCTAATACCTCAGACAGACTTAATCTAAAAACTGAAAACAAACAGGAAGTGCATTTTCAGATTTTAATTAAGGATTACAAAGGCCAAACTTTTTTGTTTTCTAAACGACATGCACAGATGAATTGTTCACCACAAAACTAGCAATGTAAGCTAACAAAATCAATATAGTTAGTTTTGATTTGATTAATACTTTGAAGTTCATGTGAAGGATATGCTTACAATGTTTATTTTGCTAGCGCACACTGTTATTCCTTTGGTGAACAATGACCATGCAGGTTATTCCACTGATAAAAGTTTGTTTTGATAATCTTAAAATCTAAGAATTTGCTTCTGTGTTTAGAGTAGCGGTGCTTCTCTGTCAACACATTCTCACTCATCACATATTGACGCTTGGTCAGGCCCCATTCTTGTCAGTTTGACACTTGAGGTACCCCTCCGGTGTTATTTTACAATGCACGTATCCTCCATTGCTATAAAAAAAAAGAAGTCTTTGGTGTCAATATGCTGTTATGAAAGGCATCTGCAATTTTACCATTATGATTAAATTACATATTGAGTCATATTTTTGTTGTTATTGGGGTGTGAGTTTTTCCTAAAGTCAACAATCGAAATGTTACGTTACACTATGAACACATTTACAGTATGAGCATGTAACCAAAGTACCTATCCAGCTCCTAGCACTAAACCCAACCATTTGTCAATATAAAACACAGGAAGGATATGGCAGGAAGATACAACTGGTTTAATCTCAGTTTATGGAAAATATAGTCTTCTGAGGCGGCACAAAATATATACGAAAAGAATAGATGCGATCAGCTCAGATGTCGTCTGTGATAAAATCAAATAGGCTGCATGCGAAATCACATATTATGAAGTACGTTAAAAACAGTAAGTGAGCCGAGTAGTATGTCCGCATTCATAGTATTTGAAAAATAGTAGGCGAGAAGTACTACTTCTGATGAGATTCTGAAATGTAGATGCTATGCTATCTCATGATGCATGTATTCATGAACGCGAAAGAAGCGACGCAACTGACGCAGGTAGGTCACGTGTTAGTGACTAATGGTAGATGTAGTACATCCGAGTTCCATTCCAACTACTCGCATTCATACTATACAGATCATACTTTTCTAATGGTCGTGTAGTAAATTAAAATTTAAATGTGGTACCTACTCGAGTTGTAGGTGATTTGGGATACAGCTATATTGCTGCTGGAAAAGCGTCTCACGTCAGCTTCGGTTGTCAAATGCTATTACGTCTTAAAAAGATGCAAAAAGGAGTGCAAGAAGCATCGTAAAGCAATGAGAAAGGGTCTTAACAGCTTCAATATGTGATGAGTTGGGAGTGAGAATGTGTCGTCTCTGTTGACGTCAGTTTCAGCCACAATATTCTTAACCACGCCTCTTTGTTAACAGGGAATAATGCACAAAAAAGATTGAATATTTAGAATAAAGCCATTGACATCCATAGTAGGAAAAACAAATGTTATGGAAATCAATTAGTTTTGAACCTTTTTCAAAATATCATCTTTTGTGTGCAAAAAAAGATCAATTGAAACAGATTTGGGACAAATGAGGGGTCAGTAAATGATGACAGAATTTTCAGTCCCCATAAAGGAAGAGTTCTGTTTAGGTCGATTAATATATATAGCTGCTTATGAAACACAGTATACTACTGTAGTACAAGAGACTGTTTACCCTTTATAAGGAAACAAGTTTACAAGGAAATACAGAGTAGGTTCCTGTAACACGTCTGACATTATAAGAAATGTATTTTTGTATATTTGTTCTAAATAAAATCTATTTTCTATGCATGTTCTGAGAAATGCTTTCAGAATGAAAATTACTGTATTAAAATAGGGGTGTGCAAAATTAATGGTGTATGGTTTAACGTGCGAGCTGAAATTATTGAGTATGTCAGACAAGTAGGATGACCCTAGAATTAGTTGTGAAAGCAAACATATTTGCCTGGTATGAGTTTTAGTTTTTCGGTATTCCTGTATATAGCATGTAAAAGCAATCACAAATGTGATATTGATGTTATACAGCAGTTCAGCTGAGCGAGCATTGAATAAGCTACATTTTAGACACAACTTTGTCTGTTTGTTTTGTTTGTTTCAAAAATGTGTAACGATCCTGAATGAGTCAATGATTCAATTATCCACTGCGAAAAGGGGCGGGATTAAACAAGATTATTGGACATTTAAAAAAATTGAGTGATTGGTTTTAAATTTCTGTCCAGAGAGGTCATGTTTTGATCCTCGATAGGTCTCACGCAGTCAAGTGATGCAATTTCGCAGGTCAGAGTTCACCAAGCTTGAACTGTGCAATGCAGTGAACTGCGAATCTTGATGCACGAACTTGCGTTTCCAGTCTGACGCATTTGTGTGCGTATGAATGGAAGTCTATGGTGAGAAAAGTGCAGTGTGACCGCAGCTTTCACTTTTTAAAAATTGATATTGTTTGAATGAATAATTCAATGAATCACACATTGAGAAACGACCTACTGGTGTTTTAATTATCGTTACTGAAAAATCGTAATATTTTTTGTTTACATCAATCAGACATCTTATCTGACTTACCTAGGCCTATAAAATATGATATTGATTTTATACAGCAGTTCAGCTAAGCTAGTATTAAATTAGCTACATAATATTAGACATAATTTTGTCGTTTTAATTGTTTGTTTCAAACATTTTGCCAGTAACCATCCTGAACTAATCTGATTAAGAGTCATTATCCACTA